TTATTTAAAATGTATTTGTTCTTTTAGCTTTACGAAATTTACACAGGAATACCAAGTTTCATTAACGCTCAAGTCAACGGATTCATGGATGAAGGAGTTACAGTTAACGGATATCTTGAGTTTTATGCAAATGAACAGATTTCGTCGAGTGAATTGGAAAACATGTTTAGAGAATCAGGGGATGGCGATGGTTTTATACAAACTACATCCAGCTCCCTGGTCTACATGACGAATAGTCTTGTTATCAATGGTAAGAAAATTAATGGTAATGAATAAGGTATGCATGGACCTGTCTCTTATACACATCTAGATGTGTATAAGAGACAGATATATATATATATAATTATTGAAATTATTCACTTAGCTTTAATTATTTTCTTCTTTTTTTGTTTCAATGACATAGAAATGGATGATGATATATATGAAGGAAATGAAAATGAATCAGTGGAAAGAATGGATCCCACTCCACACGACGAATCTGAGGTCAATGATGGTACCCAACTTCCTGAAATTAATACAAATAGTGAAATAGAAGTGATTGAGTATTCAACCTATGTCACTATCGAAGATAGTGTAGGACAAATAGAAGGAGACAGTGTTGCAGAAAGTTCTTTACTACCTGCAGACAGAAGTGAATTCCAATTAGCCACAGAACGATTGTATACTTCTCCGTACCAAGAAAGTGAAGTTTTTGAAGGCACAGAACACTTTTTGCCAACTGATGAAACAGGAGAAGTTACATATTTTACAGCAACTGATGGAGGTGAATTTCAATCAGTTGAAGAAGAAACATATACTCCTGTATATGAAGGAAGTGGGACAAATGAAGGCACAGAAAACTTTTTGTTACCTGGTAGAAGTGATTTTTTTACAACACAAAGAGTAACTTCGGTCATAGAAAGCATTTCTTTTCCGGATTCTGGTAGAGAAGCAAAACGCCGTAAAAAACGGCAGGTGGTGAATACAGGTTTGTATATTATTTTCTTCATTTTTGGCAGGGATTGAAGAAAGAAATATCAAAGCACCAATTGGTAGTAATTTAGTTTTTGTGAGAAGACCACCACTACCATGGATATTTGAAAGTTCTACCGAATAACCAGTGCCTCACAGGCGTTCATTTCTGACAACAAACTATTGTTTTTATCAAGTGTGCTTGCAATGCTTGCTGTCCCAACACCAATGGCGTATATGTGGGTATGCCCCCCACAGTCGGCCTATAACAATGTTGGAAACAAAAAAATCATGATCAAGCAGATAAAAAAATCACCTTATATCACCTAATTTCACAAACTACGGACTAGTGCCCCCAAATTCACCTTCGCGCTCCCATTTGCCGGCTCCCCCATTTAAAGTCACATAGATAACGCCACTGCCCAACATCTTTCCTAAATCCATTGCTTTGTGGTGGGTTATAGGGCCAGTAACATTCACTGTGTATGTTTATGTATAATATAACCATAACTCGAGTGGCCCATCCAGGCTTATATGTATCAAAAACAGGAAAACCAGTCAGGCGGATTCAAGCCACCCTCTACTACCTCTCAAAAGAAAATTGAGTATCATATCTGGCCATTTAGAATTGCCATAATCGTTACATTTTCTTACCTCAGCCCCAACCATGGACATGAAGTGGTCTAGACCCTCGATTTATGAAAGCCTACCCTGCTCTCCCCCACCCCCCTTTTCTTTTCCTACTTCAGATTCCTGGATCCCCCAATGTCAATATTAACATTTACATTCCAGTGCCATTTAGATCGACATCTTTGGCATTTACCTCTTCGATTA